CTGGCATCGTCCCATGCTTTTATTGTATTGTAGCTGAAGACACCTTGCAGCTGTCCCAGAGGAAAACCCAGAGCATTCTGGACCCAAAATCTCCCACAGAGTTTTTTTATTAATAAAAATTCTTTTTATTAAAGTTCTTTTTATTATCACTTATAAAAATGATCCCTTGGGTGGCCATGCTTCCATGTATACACAGGAGTCAGACATGACAGATGTTGACACCTAGGCTTACCATTCTGAGCTGTATCCGTGCAGGATGCTGGTTTCCTTGCACTGTCTCTTCATTCCATCAGCAAAGTACTCCTGGTACAGGAGCAGTTATTCAGGCTGGAAGCTCATCCAGGAGCTTTTCTACACCCCTACTGATCTGAGTCCCATTATCAGCACCTTGCCTGAAATACATTTCTAATTTTATTACAGGTTTTCAAAAGTCTGAATGTCTCCCGGTCTGGTCACTGAGCAACTGTTGCAGAAGAGATGTTTGCAGGGGCACAGGAGCTGCACCCCACAGCCTCATCCAGGGAAGATCCACAAAGTCCTTCTGAGCTGAGCTTGTCCCATGGGCCCTGTAGTGCACATCTATTTTACACTGCATATCTATTATCTTTAAATTAGTGCATTTTAATATTAAATGGCCCTTACATTTTTTTACTGTCAAAGAAAATAAGACTGCTTGGCTCAAGTTCTTTGTGTCATTCATTATTTGAAGATTATTGTGCAAGGGAGATGGAGATGAACATGTTTGAACTCCGTAATAGCAGAGAAATAAATCTAGATCCAAGTTTCTGTGGTTTGGACCCATTTATGTGTTTCAGTCTTCTAAGAACACTTTAAAGATATGAGCTGCAGTTCTTGGGAACCAGAGGTTATTGGTCACTCCTGGGGTTACTGGTCAGTCCCAGGAGTTATTGGTCAGTCCCAGGGGTTACAAGTCACTCCTGGGGTCTTTGGTCACTCCCAGGGGTTATTAGTCACTCCCAGGGGTTATAGGTCACTCCTGCAGTCATTGGGCACTCCTAGGGTTATTGGTCACTCACAGGTTACTGGTCTCTCCCACGTCTTTGGTCTCTCGTGGGTCATTGGTCGCTCAGGTCACTGGTCACTCACTGGTCACTCACAGGTCACTGGTCATTCATTGGTCACTCCCAGGTCACTGATCACTCCCAGGTCAGTGGTCTCTCAGGTCATTGGTCACTTCCAGGTCATTCACTGGTCACTCCCAGGTCACTCACTGGTCACTCCCAGGGTCACTGGTCACTCCCAGGTCAGTGGTCACTCCCAGGGTCAGTGGTCACTCCCAGGTCATTCATTGGCCACTCCTAGGGTCATTGGTCACTCCCAGGTCATTCATTGGCCACTCCCAGGGTCAGTGGTCACTCCCAGGCCACTCATTGGTCACTCCCATGGTCACTGGTCACTCCCAGGTCACTCCCAGGTCACTCCCAGGTCACTCATTGGTCACTCCCATGGTCACTGGTCANCACTCATTGGTCACTCCCATGGTCACTGGTCACTCCCAGGTCACTCCCAGGTCACTCCCAGGTCACTCATTGGTCACTCCCATGGTCACTGGTCACTCCCAGGTCACTCCCAGGTCACTCCCAGGTCACTCATTGGTCACTCCCAGGTCAGTGGTCTCTCCCAGGTCATTCACTGGTCACTCCCAGGGTCACTGGTCACTCCCAGGGTCACTGGTCACTCCCAGGTCATAGGTCACTCCTAGGGTCAGTGGTCACTCTCAGGTCATTGGTCACTCCCAGGTCACTCATTGGTCACTCTCAGGTCAGTGGTCCCCCCCAGGTCACTGGTCACCCCCAGGTCACTCATTGGTCACCCCCAGGTCACTCACTGGCCACTCCCAGGGTCAGTGATCACCCCCAGGTCACTCATTGGTCCCCGCCAGGTCACTCACTGGTCACTCCCAGGACATTGGTCCCCCCCCGGTCACTCATTGGTCCCCCCCAGGTTACTCACTGGTCCCCCCC